TTAAGCAGTTAAGGTAAACTCTAGGTGGGGATCTCATTCCTACAGGATGACAGATGGCCAAGAGACATCTGGGCCCAGTTAACAGTGACACAAACGTGTCTCCGCTACCTTGGGCACTTTGTCAGGACACGGGCTCTCACATCTCTTTCCTGAGTACTGTTTTCTTTTCTGTCCTCCTCTGGACTTCAGTTCCTTAGTGGAGCTAACTAATGGTAGTCGGGATCCAATGCTGGGCATCATCCCCAGCGAGTTTCTCCCCCAACCCTCCAAGTCAAAGGCCGATGCCAGGCCTGCCTGGGATTCCTCTGGAGAGGCACTGATACTCCCGTGCCTTAGCTGTTACTTGCTGAAAGAGGGGAGCAGGGGAGAGGCACATCCCTGAACCTAGCTAGGTCTAGAGCTGGCCTCAGTACCCCTCCCTGGGATTAGGACCAAGGTCTCCATCCAGTAGGTACTGAGGTGTTTGCTCATTTGACAAAACCAATCTCTTCAGTAACCCCAGGAAGCAAAGCTAGAAACATCAACAAAGAAAATGGAAGTTTGTGGTGTCGTCCTCAGAGGTTCCCAGGGTAGAGTCACTTCACGCTTCACACTGTGAACAGAGCGTGGTGGGAACATGTTTCCTCCAACCCTGACAGCACAAGGGTAGGAATCCTTCGGGACCCCACAGGACAAGGTTCTAAGCTTGCCTCTCACCAAGGAGAGAATGAGAAGCAAGATCCTTGAAGGCCCCATACCTGCCGCTCCAGGTACCCAGCTCAGCCTGAGTAGAGACAACAGAGTACCTCAAGGTCCTCCCACCACTCCCGCAGAGCTAAGGGTTTAAGTGCCGTTTCCTGGGAAACACTTCAATCTTGGCCAGTGAAAACAACTGCTGTCCAAGGTCAAGGCTATGTGATGAGAAATAAGCCTCTATGGGCCCCTGGCTGGTGTCCAGAGTCTTCTGTGACAGAATGGACTCTGTCACCTAGATAAAGGCTTGGTTCTCTGTTACCTGTACTCAGGAGACTAAAGCTCTTTAATCTGTTTTTCCTAACCTCCCCCTAAGGATGGCAGAAGCACCCTGAGCACCCTGCTGGAGGGAACACTTTCTAGGCTCCATCTCATTGGCTCTGTCCCCTGCACCCTCTGTGTCTACAGCCGAGTAGATAGTGAGGTGCCAAGCCTTGTGGGTTTTTTTTACACACGCACATGCGTGCATGCATGCACACACACACAGTGGGTAAATCTTCCCACATAATTATCTAATCAAGATGATCGTCTCCCAGGTCACTCCAGACCTCATCAAGTTGACAACTGAGACTAATTGTCACAGAAACCATACTTCCCAGAGCCCTCCAGAGGGAAAGCTTTCTGCCCCTGGGAAGAATACTGTCACTGTTGGCTTCTGAGCCCAGGGCTTGTTTTGTGGGGCATGGCAGCTCTGCTGTATCACAGCAGCATGTCACACATATGTGGTGGCTTCCCACATTACCCTTTCTACAAATCTCCAGATATAGCCCACCTGCTCACGGATGCTCTGGTTCAAACAAATTAAGGTTGCCTCTGAGATCACAGAGAAACTTGGAATGTCACAATACCATCCTCTCTCTGCACCTCTGTCCTCTCTCTCTCTCTCTGTCTCTGTCTCTCTGTCTTTCTGTCTCTCTCTGTCTCTCTGTCTCTCTCTGTCTCTCTCTGTCTCTCTGTCTGTCTCTCTCTCTCTCTCCCTCCTTCCCTCCCTCCCTTCCTCCCTCCCTCTCTCGGCTCTATTATGTAGCTCTGAATGTGTTGGAGCTCCCCATGTAGACCAGGCTCGCCTCAAACTCACAGAGATCCACCTGCCTCTGTCTCCCGTGTTGAGATTAAAGGCATGTGCCACCACACCCAGCTCTACCATCTCTTTTTTGTGTGCTGATTTTAAGACATTATCACCAGTCATAGTGACATGAACAGGTAAAGTATGCTGAAGAGGTGCAGGCAGGAGGACCATGAGGCTGTCCTGGACTATGTCTTTAGCTTGGCATGGTGTTGCATGTCTTTTATGCCAAGGCTCAGCAGATAGAGAGGCAGGCAGATCTCCATCAGAGATACATTTGTGAGACCCTGTGTTTAATATATATATATATGTATATGTATATATGTGTACATATATATATCAAGATTAAATTCATGTAAAATTATCCCCTGGAAAATCAACAATTTAGTATATTACATGTTATACCAACACCACTATATTTAGTTCCAGACCATATTTATCATCCCTAAATGAAAGTCCTGACTTCTGAATGTGTTTCCTCCCCACTCTCCTCTCCTCTACTCCATGTTCCAGACCCAGCGACCTGGGGAAGGCAGAAGCTCTGTTACAGGAGTGCCTTCAGCTGACGAAGCCGGAGATGTTTGAGAACCCCCTGTATGGGTCTGTGAGTTCCTTCCCTAAGCTGGTGCCCAGGAAAGAGCAGGAGTCCCCCAAGATGCTGCGGAAGGAGCCCCCGCCCTGTCCAGACCCAGGAATCTCACCGCCCAGCATACTGCTCCCCAAAGCCCAAGACGTGGAGGGTATCAAGGGGACAAGCAAACAGGTCCCCGTGCCTGTCTTTGGCCCCACACCCCGGATGCGCTCTTTTACCTGTTCCTCCTCTGCTGAGGGAAGAATACCCGGTGGGGACAAAAACCAAGGGAAGCCCAAGACCTCAGCCGGTTCGCAAGCCCCGGTGCCAGTCAAGAGGCCTATCAAGCCTTCCAGGTCTGAAATGAGCCAACAGACGACTCCCATCCCAGCTCCACGGCCGCCCCTGCCAGTCAAGAGCCCTGCAGTCCTGCAGCTGCAGCATTCCAAAGGCCGAGACTACCGAGACAACTCGGAACTCCCCCACCACGGCAAGCACCGCCACGAGGAGGGGCTACTTGGCAGAACTGCCATGCAGGTGCGTCGAGCCGTGTGTGTGTGTGTGTGTGTGTGTGTGTGTGTGTGTGTGTGTGTGTGTGTGTGTGTGTGTGTGAACTTGGGGTTTGAACCTGGCACCTCTGTGCCCCTAATTGGTCCTACACAACACCTGCAAATGATTCTTGAGAGGGGGGGGGAAGCTGTGGATAGACATCTAGCTCTCTAAAATATGGGAATTTAGGTCATTTATATTTTAGTTTTATCCTCTTTTTAAAAATTATTTATTATGTATACGGTGGTCTGCCTACTTGTATCCCAGAAGGCCGAAGAGGGCACCAGATCTCACCATTTAGTGAACCACCAAATGGTTGCGGGGAATTGAACTCAGGACCTCTGGAAGAGCAGACAGTGCTCTTAACTGCTGAGCCATCTCTCCAGCCCAGTTTTATCATCTTAAGTAATATATGATTTAAAACATTCCTTATATTTTAGAAACTTCAGACAGAATATCCCCTTCCAATAGAGTCTATTTATTCTAGAGCAAAGCTAACAACGCTTTAGAGAGAAATCGCAGTTGAGACTGGACATAGTATAAACCCTGTAATCCTAGCACTCTGAAAGTCTAATGCAGGAGGACCAGGTGCTCAAGCCCAGCCTGGGCTAAATGACAAGACACTGGCTTAAGAACCAACAGCAGCTGAATGCTAAGGTTGTAGCTCGGTGGTGGAATACACACCAAGTCTCCATGAAGCCTTCGCTGAATCCACAGGGCCACAAGAGAAATGAACAGGCTCTAAAACCAGACTGTTGGCTGTTCTGTTATTGTATTGTTATTATTGTTTTCTGTTTGTTTTTGTTTTTGTTTTTTGTTTTGTTTTGATTTGGTTTTTTTGAGACAGTAGTCCTGGCTGGCCTTGAACTAAAAAATCTGCCTGCCTCTGACTCTTGAGTGATGGGATTAAAGGCTTTTGCCAACACACCTGGCCCATTATTGTATTTTATTGCAGTATTGAGGGTCAAACTCAGGGCCTTACACAATAGACAAATGCTGTATTGCAGTTCTGTGTCAGATTTAAATCCCAAGTCTCTACTGCCCAGCTCTTTGCCTTCTTAATCTGTAAAAAGATGATATTGATGGCATCTGCTGTATAGATTTATGGGGATAAATAGACTATGCCATACACTGTTACCTCATTATCAGCTATCATTCGTGTTTCATATATTTTGTGTAACATGTATCTATGTCATATATAGTATATGCATATAACATGTGAATTAGCATATAATACAATCAGGACAGTGTTCTAAGTATACTTTCAGGTCAACCTGATCTAGCCCACAGCACTAGGGATCTGTTGGGGAATATTATTTTTAGGTGTATGACTTTTGTTTATGCGGCATTTGTTTAACTCTGTGAAGCTGTGTTACTGTGCCTGTCTAAAACACCCCATGGTCCTCATAAAGAGCTGAATGTCCAATAGAGAGGCAGGAGCAGGGATAGGCGGAGCTGTCAGGCAGAGAGTATAAACAGAAGAAAACGAGGGAGAGGAGGACACCAGGGGTCAGCCAGAGAACAGGGAGAGGAGGACACCAGGGGTCAGCCACCCAGCCATAGAGTAAGAAGGAAAGTAAGATATACAAAAGTAAGATAAAAGCCCGGAGAGAAAAAGCAGACAGGTTAATTTAAGATAAGAAAAACTAGCTGGCAACAAGCCACACTAAGGCCAGGCAGTCATAAGTAATAATAAGACTCCGTGTGTGATTCACATGGGAGCTGGGTGGTGGGCCTCTCAAAAGACCTAAAGAACGAAAAGCCAAAAGAGTAAAACATTCCACAACAGGAGTCAAATGTGGCCTGGAGCTGGCAAGGCTGATAGCCCTTCTGTTTTCATCCTACAGTGAAGGCCTCGGTTTGCTGCTGGTGACGGGAGCCCCGAAGAACAGCACAAAGCAGGTCAAAGCCTCTCTCAGGATGCCTCTCCCAGGACCTCCTGCTAGCTCCTCTTGCCCAGCTTCAAGTCCAAGGCTGTGTACTTTTCAGGAAGGGCCTCACTTCTCTGTGGTCCAAGAGTGTGCTGGCTGCAACACTGGGCGGCAGATGCCGGAGCTGGGTGGAAAACACTTAACCACATGGCCAACAGGCAGCCACACCTGGGTCTCAGGACTTGGATTCCAGGGCTGCCTTCCAGTCGCCGTTTTAAAGAAAGGAACTGAGACACTGTCTGAGGGCGAAGATATTAATAATAATAATATTAATAATAATAATGGTCAGGTGCCACGTGCTGTGTTAAGTGCTTTACCAACATTTGTCAGGCTGGCCTCCAGAGCTGAGGTTTCAGTCAACCTGAACCCTGGGCCCACACCCACCAACCCCAAGCGGTAGGTCCTGAGAAGTTTAAACAAAGCATTAAAAGAGCCAGCAAACCCCTCGAGCTAGCCAGGCTCCACTGCAGGGACCTGAAGAGTCTGCATAGGTAATTGAGGCTACAAGGAGCCCGGCCCTGCCTATCTTCAGAGATACAAGCTGCCTTAGCTAAGGTTGGAGTTCTGTCACAGCCCAGATCTGCCTGGTTTCGGTTAGATTTTCAGTCTGCCAGAGTCAAGAGATCAGCTCCAACTCTCCAGTGAAGAGATCTGGCCTCAACCTAAACCAGCCATGTCAGACCCTTGCTGAGCCTATGGCCCAATACCCCCTGTGCCACTATAGGTGGGCAGCTACCGCCATACCCTAAGTTGGGCCAAGCATACCCCCCAAACCCCCCATAGCACTTCTGATGTACTGAGGGAGAATCTCTACCACTGTCCCAATGATTGAGCGCTCCAGCCTGCTATCAAGGAAGGGGAGCCTTGGTCCCAGGCTCTTGAAATAGTGCAGCCTCTTCTTCCCATGTGGTGTGACTCCCCCTGTGTCCTTGTTATACCAGGAGAATGGAATGATGATGTCTTTTCTTGTCTTGCTTTTTGATAATATCAGGATCAATGTAGGAAACCAGATCCAGAGTATGCAGGAAAGCAGGTGTATTCCCTATGTGTCCCAGTCTATGTGACCAATAAATTGTGCCTTTCTAACTAGGTTCCTGACTGTGTGGCATCTTCCTGATCTCCAGGGCCACAATTCGTCCCTGTGCTTTAACCACTGCAGAGAGACTTTGGAGCAGGAGGAGGCAGTTAAGGGTTCTCGATGGCCAGAAAATAGTATTCTCACCATGGAGACAGTCTGAAGTTGGGCATGGACATGACCATGGGTGGACATCATAACTACTTCCATACATATCCCTGTGATGGACTCCAAATGTCCTTCAGCAACCCAACCTCCACAAGTGTCTTCTAACACTGGCTGACCAAAAAGCCCACAAGTTCTTCCTAGCTTTTACCAGCGTTGGTTACTTCAGGGACAATACGCCCATGTAAACCATTCCAATGACATGGGTTCACAGGTTAGGGAATAGCCTCCAGTCAAAGACCAGCATAGATACTGGTACCACTTGTAAGGGGCCATGGCCCCTGTTACCATTCCTTCCACCTTGAGATATTTAGCATCTCTCCTGCTCACAGACCCAAGGCCTGGTCTCTAAATAGAGATCCAAAGAGCTGCATCCTTGGCAGGCCCTGAGTAAACTACTCACTGCCTACTTGGATGGTCCTTGTGGACTGGTAGACTCAAGGCTGAGAATATTCCAGAATAGTTCCTCACCTCTACTTAGGTGAATGTCTCTACAGATTCACTACTTGGTTCCAACAAAGAACTTCACCCCCATCTCTAGGCAACAACATTCTGACCCAGCAGATGAGTAAAGCAACCCCCCACCCGCCCCAGCATTCTGACCCAGTAGACCAAGAGCCAAGTAGAGGCATAGCTGAAGGTACCTTGATATTCTAGAGGGAGGGCACACAGGGAGTGCAGGCAGGCTCCACCCTGCTGTTCTTTACCTCCCTTTTCCTGGGGCTTCACCCTGGGTCACACTCGCTTGTGACCCCAGAGCTGAGGGCCAGGACCCTACTGCCTTTGACCCACCGGACACCTCCTGCTATTATAATGGGCTGGCTTGCTATGTGGGGCACCTGCAGCTGCCTATCCAAGGAATAACAACTATCTCCTTCCGTGGATGTGCAGCCTCCCCTATCATTTCTGTGGGCTCAAGGATAAGCAGAAGGTAGAACCTATGTATGCTATCATTTCTGTGGGCTCAAGGACAAGCAGAAGGTAGATGTATGCTATCATTTCTGTGGGCTCAAGGATAAGCAGAAGGTAGGACCTATGTATGCTATCATTTCTGTGGGCTCAAGGACAAGCAGAAGGTAGGACCTATGTATGCTTCCTGTCCCTTCACCCTGAGCTCTAGTCACCAGTGCAGATCCTCACCCATTTTTCCTCCTCCTCCTTTGCATGTGGATGGTCGCTGGGGCTGCCTGATGCTTGAAGCTGGAGACACAAGGACTGAAGTTTCCATCTCGTCCTCCTAGCCCTGTACACACCCCCGAGCTCCTTGACCACCTTCTGTGGACTCTGGGCCATCACTGTCTCCCAGAACCCACGCTAGTTGTCTCTTTTGCTAACGATTCTATCCTACCCCCACCCTCCAACACTCAGTTCCTCCTTCTATGGCAGAGGAATGGGAAGCCAGATATCAGCCCTCTGTCACCTCAGTTTTCTTCGATGAGTCCCATGAGAAGTTAAGAAGCTTTGCTCACAAACTGCCCCACCCTTAAAATGACCCATCACCCCTAAAATTGTAGATCAACAGTCACTTTGTCTTTTAAGAAGCAAATCTTCCCTTCTTTGCTTGGCTATATGAAGCTGGTCAGAGCCCAGATTTCCTGTTACCATGATAATGGTCTCTGGTGTGAATGTATCAGCTTCTAAGCGCCATGCAAGGGATCTAGAGGGTGGCAGTGGGCTGTCAGGCCACCTGTGGGACTCGATGGGCAGCCACTTTACTCCTCTGCCAAGTGTTTCCTGTGGCTTTCTAACCACTGATAAGAGAGAAAGAGTGAGTCACTGAGAAAAGCTCTCTCCCACAGATATCTTCCCTAACCCCAGCCTACCAGGTTTGTCTTTGCTTGTCCTTAAAATAGCTCCTTTCTGCAAACTAATTTCCATGGAGACCCAGCTATGGAAAGACCCAGAAGCTTTCTGTGAGGCAGTGAGCTCAGTAGCAGCCTTCACTCCAACAGGGAGACCTTTTATGATGCAAATATCTGGTCTCACCCTCCCATTTACCTGGCAAGGTCCCATTCTGGGGAAACTGCTCTGCACACAGGCACGTGGAGTCTAGCACTGACAATCTATATCTGGTTAGGCCCTGGTTAGTGACTGCTCCAAGCTTATCATTTCTCTCTCAGCTCATAGATGACCCACCCATTGGTTCTTCATTCAAGTGATCTTAGACTTGATATGCATAGCTCCTGTTCTCCATCATCCATTTGTACTGGGCCTGAGAATACCATGGGACAGGACATGGTCATGGCTGAGGGTCAGACAGAATGGGATTTAACACCTTAGTTTGTGTTTTCCAACAGAATTCTCTTAATCAAGCCCAACAACCTGAGTTGGATCCCCAGAACTCATGTAAAAAGCTGGATGCATAACCTGTGATCCCTGGTGCACACCTTTAATCCCTGCCCTCAGGAGGCACAGGCAGGTGGATCTCTGAGTTCAAGGCCAGCCTGGTCTACAGAGCAAGTTCCAGAACAGCCAGGGCTACACAGAGAAACCCTGTTGAGAGAGAGAGAGAGAGAGAGAGAGAGAGAGAGAGAGAGAGAGAGAGAGAGAGAAGGAAAACCTGGATGCAGTAGTCCCAGCACTCCTACTGAGAGATGGACAGAAAGTGCAGGAGAATTGCCTAGAAACTCAAGCCAGATAGCCCAGTGTGTATGAACCATAGCAGCCAAAACAAGAGAGGTCATGCCTCAACTAAATTGAAGGTCAGAACCAGCTCCCAAAAGTTGTCTTCTGACCTCCACACACACTCTGTGGCATGCATAGGTCTACCCACACACACACACACAAGCAACACACACACACACACAGGAAGAGGAGGTAGCAGAGGAGGAGGAAGTAACTCCAGTTGTCAGGGTGGCTGATTTTAGGCCAGGGAATCTGTCCTTGTCTCATTAGTTTGGGCTCAGATGGTGAAGCAGATTCAAGGGCAAGGAGGCAGACCTGAGGTAAGGAAGGGAATGCCCTCATGAGTAGGTGACTGCTGGGGACAGCTGGGTTGTCTGGGGGACAACTGCATGTGGAAACACCTATTACCCCATCCAAAGAGGGCCATGTTAGGGGGTGCCTCTGGGAGCTGCTTGGTCCTAGCTCTCCTGGTCTAAGCAGAAAGCTAGCTCCAAAAGGCAGGCAAGAGCCCTCCAGCTTGAAGGGCAGCACGCAGGAAAGCCACGTGTGATATGTGTAAGGCACTGGTGGGTTTGCTCCACTTACCAGTAGCACCATAGACAGAGTTTCAGTACGCTTGCCCACAGAACACCAGCCCCTCCTGCTACTGCTGTGTGTCTACAGGCTGAGGTTTCTGGATGCTCAGACGGACATCTGTGAAGGGGGGCCCTCTCTTTGGATAGGTTCTGTCTCTTGAGAAAAACCAACCTGGAAGGCCCAGGAAAGAACATTCTAGACAGAAGGAGGTGCACAGTCTCTGAAGGAGTAGCATGGAGTGTGGTGAAATGAGAAGATGAATGGGAGCAGGAGAGTATACCAGGAGGTGCTGGGGTGCCGGGGGTCCTGTAGGAACCAGTGCTCAGATGTACGGAGAGCCGTAGGATCTGTGCGGGCACAAGAGAGGCCCATTACTCAGAGTAGATCTAAACCAGGATGCTGGTAGCTGAAAGAGCATCGAGGTACCTGTGAGAGGTAGTGACAGAAGAGGGGAGACCTACATGAGTGTCTTCTCCACCCTGTCCCTGGCACTTGACCTGGGGACCTTTTCTAAACCTTCTGGGAAGAACACAGATATAGTGGCTCAAACAGCTCTCATTATAGGGCTCCATGGTCAAAAGGTCAGCAAGTTTAACAGACAATGGTATAAGATGCCCAATCCAATTTGATCATCTAACAAGAGTTTTGAGTGAAAGTGTATCCCCAAAGAGTAGGTTTGTGGTTTTCTGTGTGGATTTTGATTAGCTATCCTCTGACTGCCCCCCCAAAGGGAGGGTACCATGCTTCCAAATCTGGAATGAGGTACTACCACCTTGAATCCAGAAGACATAAACCCGAGGCAAGCAAAGAGAGAGATGGTAAATAAAATCTACCACAGACTGCACTCATATTCTGTCTTTACGTCAAAAAGAACTATGTGGAAGCTGAGACGGCACCATTTGCTAAGTTATATTTTATAGATGTGAATCTAGAAGAGAGTGGTGGTGGTGGAGGTGGCGCACAACTTTAATCCCAGCACTCAGGAGGCAGAGGCAGGCAGATCTCTGTGAGTTCGAGGCCAGCCTGGTCTACAGAGCGAGTTCCAGGACAGCCTCCAAAACAATACAGAGAAACCCCCTCTTGAAAAAAACAAACAAAGCTAAAGGAACCGGGTGTGGTGGCACATTTAAGTCCAGCACTTGGGAAAGCAAGAGGCAAATGGATCTCTGCAGATCTGTAGAGTTCAAGTCAGCCTGGTCTACATTGCTAGTTCCAAGACAGCCAGGGCTACATAGAGAAACATGTCACATAAAACAACAGCAAATAGAGAGGAACGTTGGCCTTAGGATGTGGCAATGGGTAGAAACTCAGGAATGAGGAACCCTGAAAAAGGGAAGAAATGGATATATAGAAATAACTTTTTCTCAGAATTTCCCTCAAATGTAATAAGATGGAGCAATTGTTGTAACAGGGTTTATAATACAGACACAATATTCTGACAACATTTGAGTGAAGGATGGATAAGGAGGTTGTGAATAGCGTTAGATAATTGTGACGGTGAAGCTTCAGTGTCAACTGGACTCCATGAAGAATTTCATAGGATTTATCTGTGAGGTGTTTTCAGAGAAGCTCAACTGAAGAGGGAAGTCCTACCCTGAATATGGGTGGCACCATCCCCTAGGCTGGGGTCCTAGGCTCAGTGGGAAAGCAGGAAGGGAGAGGGCTGAGTCCTCAGACTGCTTTCTCCCTGTTTCCTGGCTCTGGAGGCAATGTCACCCCACACTCCTGCCACTGCACCTCCCCAACATCGTGCACAAACTGAGAGCCAAAAGAAACCTTTCAAGGCACTTTTGTCAGATTACGTTGTCCTGGCAGTGCAAACAAAAGCTGAGCTTATGAGTCTCTGCTTGCGTAAGACAATATCCACTGTAAATACGCTGTGGTGTATGTTTTTGTCTCTAGGGCAGCCACTCAGATGTGGGGGTTCTTGAACTGGTGACGGAGCACAGTGGTAGAGGACTCTCTCACACGTGGGTTCATTGACAAGATGTGGGGGCTCTTGGTGTGCTGTGTCTCTTCCACTGGGTTCCAATTCCACATCCCCATCTCTTCCCTAAGTTTGGTCTTCTGACCCTTTTCTGCCTCATGCCCAACCCTGTCCATTTCCTTCCCTTCCCAAATGCCACCAGCAGAGGGCTGCATCGTCAAGCAGACTTCACTGAGAGTTTTGGGCAATGATTGCTATATCCCAAACTGTACAGCCAGCTATGTACAAATAACTATTATCCATCTTTTTGTTTGGGTTTTTTTTGTTTTTGGGTTTTTTTTTTTTTTGGTTTTTACGAGACAGGGTTTCTCTGTATTATTTTGGAGGCTGTCGGTCCAGCCCAGCCTCGAACTCACAGAGATCCGCCTGCCTCTGCCTCTCTGAGTGTTGGGATTAAAAGTACGCACCACCACCCAGCTACGATGATCCATCTTTGTTATGAAAATTCCTCAGTCAGCTGACTGACTAGAAATCTTTCTCTAGCCCCCTCCCGCACCCCCAATCTACCTAAAACCCATCTTTTGCCATCCCTTAGGGCTGTTACTTCATAACAACTATGGTCCTGTTACAAGAAGACAACATTCTCTCGGAAAACTATAACAACCAACTTTTGAACCTATCGTTTCTCCCACCGACAAATAGAAGAGGAGAGGAAGAGGGAAAGAGAAAGTGAGAAACAGACAGGCAGAATTGAAGACGCAGCCACTGTTCATACTCAGCCAGAATCCCGAGGGCTAGGAAGCCTAGTTAGGGATAGTGCTCTTGAGTGCTAGCCTGCACCCAGAGCTCATTGAGAAGTGCCGAGAATTCATAGAGGGGGAGAGTTCTATAAGTGAAGACAAGCTAACACAACCTGTTACAAAGATGAGTAAGACCATCTTTGAAGGCAGCTCTCAAACTATACAGATATTTAGAGCGTGGGAGGGGTGTCATGTAGAGGACAAGTGTCCAAACAGTTAATGAAAATAGACAGTGCTAGTGATTGGCATGGCAGTTATTTGTAATTACATGAGCTAACAAAACAGAATTCCTGGCATGCCTTCTCCCAAAGTCATTTAGATTTGGCTTAGAAAGCAGCATGGTTTTTATAACAGATTTTTCTAATTATGTTTTGCTTATGTTAATATGAAGATTTTATTCCTCAAGTAAACACCACCTGATCACAAAGCAGCAGGGCCCAAAAGTACACTGAGCGCCAGGTGGAAGCCAGGCTGGGGTTTCGAGATTTGCTGTCATGCAAAGGTTTGCGTGCATTCTGCGTGGGCTGCTCTCTCCAGCTCATCTATGAAGCGTGAGGGCAGCTACTCTGTCTTCTGGGCTTCCTCTGAATTCCTTAGCTGGGTGCAGCAGTATCTGGTTGCCAGGAGGCTGAGGCAGGAGAATGCAAACTCAAGGTGGGCCTGGGCTACAGAGGAAGTTCAAAGGCAACCTGGGCAATTTAATGAGGCTCTGCTGCAAAATAAACAGGGCTTAAAGGGATCTGGGGTTATAGCTAAGTGGTGGAGCTCTTGCCTGTGGATGAAGCTCTGGGTTCAATGCCAGGGCTAAAAAAAGACCACTCCAACTTGGCCTCACATAAAATTACCTAAAGAATCTGTTTAAATGTAGGTTTCTAGGCCCTGCCAGGATGATTGACAGGTAGTTGATTCTCTTGGTCTAGGTGGTACCTGGGAAGCTGAATTTCAGCAAGTATTCTATACCTTCTAGGATACCTGGGCAT